TTCCCAGTGCCCTGGGTTTCCACATTTTCTCTTCCATAGGGTCAGCTGTTTGTTTCACAGATGTACTTAGTAAATGTAATATCAAAAGTCTGTGATGTTCCAATAGTGCCAAATGAACCACTGAGTTGGATAAAGGTCTACATATAGCAAAACAGACATAGGATCCTGTCAAGGATTCTGTTTAAATTACCCCCCTCCCCAAGAATAACAAATAATTTTCTACTGATTAACACTTTTTTATGATGGGGCTGCAGAGTTTTTCATGAGCATTAATTACCACAAAGCCAAATGGCCTGTCAGATTACCACAAAACCAGGGAGTTTTCAAACATATGTTTCTCTATGTGTTCATGCTCTCTTAGTGGGTTACGTTATTCCTGTACTTCTTGTGCATGTCTCTATATTTAGTGGCAGCTGTTGTCAGGTGAAAGAGTTTATTCTGCCTGGCCTCATCATGTCTTTGAAAAACATAAAAAAGTCTCCCTTAAGGGCTTTATTCTTAAAAACATCAAAAGTGCAGTTTTATTGCTAGTGAAACTGTTCTACTAATTTATTAAGAAATCTTCTATGTTCGGTAGAGAAAATTAGAAGCTAGACTTCCATAAAAAGCAAACTGTGTTAGTTCAGGCACAAAGTTGTTTAAAATTTGTTCTGGGAACAGTGTTGATAAGGCAGGGATGTTTTAGTTATTGCTGAGCAGTGCTTACACAGATCCAAGGCCTTTCCTGCTTCTCACCTCACCCGTGAGGAGCCTGGGGGTGCACAGGGAGGTGGGGGGGACACAGCCAGGACAGCTGATCCCAGCTCACCAAAAGGATGTTCCAAATCATACAGGTTCATGTACAGCAGGTAAAGCTGTGGGGAAAGAGTGAGGGAGCACCTGCACGGTGCTGAGCTGCTGGCTGGGTTAAACCATGACAGCTGAATAAAGAAGGGAAAAAGTCCTTCCTATTATCCTCAGCTAAATTAATTGTTAAATGTAAGTTATGTACATTTCAAGACTAAGTTTACAGGGTCTCAAAAGGAAGGAGCTGTTTTCAGTTGTGAAACACCTGCAACGTCTGGGCAGGAAGCTGGGGACAGCCAGATGTGGAGTCTGGCTCTGCCCTGGAAGAGGGCAACATAAATAGCATTATACCAGACCTGGTCTCTGCTGCTTGCTTGTCAGTAAAGATTTGAACCAGCTTGAATTTGGGCACAGAACCACTTTTAAACTTAAACACCTTTGACATAGTAAGATTACTCAACAGAGTTTTCCTTCCCAAGTTTATTTTTTACCATCTAGATCACAATGCACCCAGTGCTCTGCTGGACACAGGGTTATCAAATACTTTTTTCCGTGGGAATTTGAGATCTCTCCTCTACATAACATGTTGTCAAAGCACAATGAAGGCATCAGTGTGACTCCTCCTGGGATCCCCATTCACTCTCCATACTGAATTTTGGAAAATTATTTCTAGATTTGGAGTTATGTTGCATTCTGACTTTGATTTTGCACACAGTGTTTTGTCGATCTCTTTGCACTTCCATCCCCACATGAGTTTTGTTCATCAGTCCTGCATGAACTGCTGAGACATCATGAAAAACTTCAGTGACTGCGGGATTCTTTATTCAATAATTTCAGGATTGGGCTGCAAGCAGCTATGGAAGAATTGAAATGTAAAAAAATAATAGTGGGATAATGGCTTACATCAAACATTGAAACTTTATCTAGTAAAAGAAGTCCTTGCCTACAGCACAGAGGTGTGGGATGACAACCAAGGCCAAGGCAAGGGCTGTAGCTCACTGCCCATGCCTGCAGTGCACCTCCTGTTGTCTGTGCATATTGGGAGATGCATCCTTGATGCCAAGGGAGAATGTTTGGGCTGGAGGTGAAGATAGGATGGTCACACTTTGGCTCTGAGGAACAGCAAAAATGGAACTTTGAAGGACACATGGCCAAAAAAGTAACTTTTGCCTGATAAAGTCACTTATATGTTAAATTGCACGCTACTGAATATGCTAATAATTTTTACAAGGTATGTGCTACCACATGTGCGAGTATAGCACTCAGCTCTCCACCTAGATCATGCCACACATAAGAGGGAGAGTGGGATAAGATTATGTTTTATATAAGGAGGGTAGAAATGTAACCTGTTTCGGGGGAAGACAAAAAGACCTTGGAGCCAGGACACAGGCTGCTCTCTTCTCTCTACTCCCAGCTGGGCAGGCCTTCTTGGTAAGCTTCATCACATAATAATAGCAATAATAGCAATAATAGCAATAGTAGTAATAATAGTAATAGTAGTAGTAGTCGTAGTAATAATAATAATAATAATAATAATAATAATAATAATAGTAATAATAATAGTAATGATGTCTGGGTTAACACAACATTATTCTTCTTGTTGAAGCTCTATCATAGCGCATTTAACCCTGGCAATTCTGAGTTTGTAGTTCTGTTTCTTCAGGAAACTACTCTGCTCTCCAGCCTGTGATTACAGCAGTTCTTATTGAATGCAACCACATCTATAAAGCTGAATTGTGAAACTGCACTATTTGTGAATCTGTGCTCATGCTTCTTATTTGACACTACCAGGCTTACCAGGCTGAATTTTCATGAATCAGAAATTAAGGACAGCTGCACGCAGCCCCTCTGATGTGTGAGAACCAGCTGGAATGCAAGGGTGTTCATTTTCTGCCAAGTTTCTGTACTCTTGATGCCACACAGAGGTCAGTTTTATGATCTTTGAATGTCTCTTCCATAGGAAATGATTCAATGGATCCTAAGTTCCTGCTTATTTTATCAAAGATACCTCACAGAACAGATGATATTTGATGTATAATTTAGAATCAGCTGTGAGTGAAGAAGAGCAGGAATTCAGCATGAAACTTGCTCTCTTTTAGTAGTTGTGAGTTTCTGTCATGAGTTAAAAGACTAATGCTATGAACAAGCATATATCCCTTATTTTTTTGAAAAGTCATTTTCCAAATGGTTTCTGACCTTTTGTAAAGCAAACAGACAACAAGAGACAGAGGAAAATGTTACAGGTAGTCACAGATCCTTGGGCAGAAGCAGCTCATTATGGAGCAGGATTTATATTATGAGGCTTTAACATCATTTTATCCCATTGGGGAAAAAAAAAAAAAAAAAGAAGAAGAAAGGAAAAAAAATAAAGAAAAGCTCAGCTTTACAGAGCTGGACAACTTATCACAAGCTGCTTAGGTATGTGATTTGCCCAGGATTTTGTGATAGCCTCATGGCAGGCATCTGCATATGGAAACAGTTCCTAGCAAGGAGCTGTGATGGAGTCGGAGTCCCTGAAGTCTTCGTGAACAGCCTGAAGGTCTGGATTTCCAGAGCTGAGTGGTTCAGGGAGTTCTGCAGCAGGTAGTGCTAAACTGCCCTGTTGGTGACACCCTGGGGGCTCAGAGAGTGAAAAACCTGCAGCAAGCACGACACCAAGTGTATCCTTAACAGGGCAGGACGCACCCACCTTACTCCCAAAATCTCCTGGAAATGAGAGAAGGGCTGACTGCAGAGTGCCCAGTTTCTCCTGACAGTCTGATCTCCCTCAGCAGTCCAGGCACGATCCTTGAAATTTCCTCCCTGAAAGGAACAAACTAACCTTGGGAAAGGCACCACCATGACCTGAGCTGTGGCATTCCCTCCCCCTGCATTCCAGAAGTATCTCCACAGCCCAGGTGAGAATACTGTCAAGTTCCTTGGAGAACAGAGACTTTGTCAGAGGTTTGAAATTTCAGGATGTCTCTTTCAGAGTTTTGATATTTGCCTTGCCCCATATGGGTTTCCTTTGGGCCTGTGCTGGAAAGATGGTGCATGAACGTGTGACAGATCCCATTATTTTAATTTCTCAAAGCAGGAGGGACCACTGAACAGTGATTTCTCTGCTAACGGGTGCAACTTCTCTGTCTGTGGTCTGTGGGAAGATGGACTGATGATTGTTCAATCATTGGATCCTCATGAAAGCACACATTACATAAAGCTGCCCAGCCAGTCAGAAAAAAAAACACTATCAAGCAAACAAAAACCATCCATGAGAGGGCAGCAAAAACCCAACGCAGGAATCTTCTTTTATCCTTCCAGAAAATTTTCAGGTCGAAAATGACTTACTGAATAACTTTTGCTAAATACAGCTTGATTTCAACAGCAAAATCTCAGAACATTTTCCTCCATTAAAGAGACCAAACCCAGAATTAATAAATACCCGAAAAATGCAAAACCACCCTTCTTTTCAATATTTGATTTTCAATTGCTCTAAAAATAGACATGCTCCTGTTTATGACACTACCACACTGGAAAATACTGTAAAAATATTTGTCAAAAAAAATTCTTTTACCTTAAAATATTAAACTGAAACCTGTAAAATCTCGGTTAGCATACCTGGCCTGGTAAATTCACCTTGAGATAACATTCAGAGATGGTGGGAAATGAAGATGTGAGAAAAAAATGAGGATAGGTAGAATTTCTCAGGAACGCTATTGGACAGAATTTGCTGCAAGATTATCCATTGATAAAGAAGTGAAGTAACTGTATAAACAGAGAAGCCGCTCAGGAGAATCCATACAAGCAGGTGAAACCGAAATACGTAAGACATGACTCTTTGAAAATAACAAATTAGAGCATAATTAAAGGGAATCGATAAGTGGGGTAACTTTCTATGAATGAGCTTTTTTCCCTAAGATATCACGACATATCAAAGCTTTAAAATATACATGAAACATCATAAAAAACCAGACACGCTGTCCTTGCTACCTAAAACACAAGAAGCGCACCGAAAAGCGACAGAAACACCTAACCCATTGTGCCTCGGGGGAGGGAAATTCACACAAATCCCGAAATTTTCTGCTCACGGGCCGCGCCGCTGAGAAAGAGGGGAGGTGGCGGGAGCCAAACGCAAGCCCCGCCCCCTTCACTGCAGTCCTCAACCAGGTCGGACCAAACCCCATAAAAACCGCGGCGCGGGCGGCTCTGCCTCACACCGACGTCGTCGGCAGCAGCTGCGGACCTTTCGTCATGTCTGGCCGGGGCAAGGGCGGCAAGGGGCTCGGCAAGGGCGGCGCCAAGCGCCACCGCAAGGTGCTGCGCGACAACATCCAGGGCATCACCAAGCCGGCCATCCGCCGCCTGGCTCGGCGCGGCGGCGTCAAGCGCATCTCGGGGCTCATCTACGAGGAGACGCGCGGCGTGCTCAAGGTCTTCCTGGAGAACGTCATCCGCGACGCCGTCACCTACACGGAGCACGCCAAGAGGAAGACGGTCACGGCTATGGACGTGGTCTACGCCCTCAAGCGCCAGGGTCGCACTCTCTACGGCTTCGGCGGCTAAAGCCTCGCCGTCCTGCTGGACCACTGTCACACAAACCCCAAAGGCTCTTTTAAGAGCCACCCACCTATTCCTTAAAGAGAGCTGTATTACAATGTTACAAGACCTGAAGAGAACGATACTGTTTTCAAATCTATCTAAAGCTGTTAGTGTAATGCTGCTAATGTTTATGAGGGCTCTCCAATGTGTCAGTTCGCTGTTAACGGAGTTGTATGAGGCGGTTCTTCTGAGTCCTAAATTCTCTTTAAAAATCGATTCAAATACTTATAAATTTGAATGTGCATTCTTGCAATGTCCACCGATTTTAACGATTATGTAAAATGTTAATTCATGTCTTAATTTTTTAAAGTTTTCTATTGGACTAAGGAGTAAGCAATTTGAAAGAATGTTTCAACTACCGAAGAATTGGGAAGTTGCCCTGAGGTGAATGTTTTCTTTCTGGTATTTCTGTTCCACTCCCCCACCACCCCTTTATTTTCTTGTCTATGATACATTTCCTTTCAAAATAAAAGAGTAAATCTAATACTGTTTTCTAGTGATCATTTGAGGTGTGATTGGGAGGAGGGAGGGATGGGATGGGATGGGACTGGACAATAAAAGCAAATGATGATCCTAGAAATATTTTCTTTTTATTGTATCATAAGAAGCTTGGTGTTGATACTTTTGTCAGCACAAACAACATTTTAAAAACACAAAGAATCCCAAAAACATTTTTGTTGTGCTTCATGACCAAAAGGGAAAAAAAACCAAAAACATTTTAACTTTATATGAAACCTTTGAAAATTATTTGGCACCTGCAATCAATGATATCAATATGGATTTGTGGTCTAGTCTGGTTTTCTCACAGCCTCATGATTAGCAGAAAATTAAGTGGGAGACCAATACCGTCTTCTCTATCAATTAATTTCAGAAAAACAAAAAGTCAATGGCCTAAGTATTATCATCATCACGGTGTTGTCTGATGATACGTAAAGCCTTTCCTTCAGAATTTCCTAGTGAAATTAAAGCATGAAAAACGTGAGAATAGTAGCTTAAAGATCACCTCCATCACTGCAGATAGTTACACGTCATAGCTACAAACGTGTGCTACCGGATTTTTTTGCGTGCCTCAGTTTCCAGGTACCAGCTTTTCTGTGCTTTGTGTGTTAGGGAATAACGTGCCTATTCACGTAAGGAGCTCTGTACCACACTGAAAGAACATTTTCCTTCTTTTGTAACCAGCCCGTCATTAAAAATAGCAAACCAAAACAAAGACACAGAGAAAGAAAATATAAAGTGCAAGTAACGTGCAGAATTTTGGCCTCTTCGCTGCTTCCCATCTGTCAGGAGAATGGGCAGAGATGCAGAGCGGGAGAAGCAGCAGGGATACGAGCACAGTGTCCGACATTCACGGCCCGCCCCGGGCCGCTCCGAGCGCGTTACGGAGGGAGCCGGGCTGGGAAGCTCCGGCCGAGCTTCAGCACCGGGCTGGGATCGCACGGCAGCCAATGGGAGCCGCGCCTCTTGCGACCAATCACAGACGGGGCCGGGCTATAAATAGCGGCCTTGGAAGCACCGCAGCATTCATTGTTTTTTCTCTGCCTCAGAGGATTTGACTCCCGGCAGCGATGGCGCGCACGAAGCAGACGGCGCGGAAGTCGACGGGCGGCAAGGCGCCCCGCAAGCAGCTGGCCACCAAGGCTGCCCGCAAGAGCGCGCCGGCCACGGGCGGCGTCAAGAAGCCGCACCGCTACCGGCCCGGCACGGTGGCGCTGCGCGAGATCCGGCGCTACCAGAAGTCCACGGAGCTGCTGATCCGCAAGCTGCCCTTCCAGCGCCTGGTGCGCGAGATCGCGCAGGACTTCAAGACCGACCTGCGCTTCCAGAGCTCGGCCGTCATGGCGCTGCAGGAGGCCAGCGAGGCCTACCTGGTGGGGCTCTTCGAGGACACCAACCTGTGCGCCATCCACGCCAAGCGCGTCACCATCATGCCCAAGGACATCCAGCTGGCCCGCCGCATCCGCGGAGAGCGCGCCTGAGTTCCCTGCCCCGGGTGCCCTCGATGTGGTCCTGAATTATTCCTCCCACACCCTAAAGGCTCTTTTAAGAGCCACTACATTGCACAAGAGAGTTGAAACACTGCCTTCCTTATACTTAAAAGACAGCGATTCTGAAGTTCTGAAAAGTTCTTGCAATTCCAATGTAAGCATGCCGGTAATTTTAAGTACTTAAGCTGCTTTCTTGTTTTGGGCAGCGTTGCATGCTGTTCTAGTGCGGTGCTCCCTAATGCCCATTCAACTGCACAGAATAAGTTAATTGCACAAAGCAAATGACCGTTCAAATACATCGAATGGAAAATATACTAGGTCAGCCAGCTGACACCTATTTTTCCCTGCCCCTTTTTCCTCTCCTACTTCCAACTTGATACTTTCTGTAAAATACTCTATTTGGAATAGTTTAGATTTACTTGAAAGTATACTGGAAGGTATAACCTGAGTTAGCATTGCAAGAAAGACATTATCAAGTTTCAAACAGCTTTTAAATAAGTATTATACACTACCATTGCTTTTACTGTGATGTACTCTTGAAATTTTAACTGGATATCTCAGCTCTCCCTCTATCACGTGACTAAAACAGGAGTGCTAAGATTATAAATTCAATGATAGGATTAAAAATTGAGAAATTCAATAGTCTAACTTTTTGGGGGGGGGGGGGGGGGGGGATGGCGGGTGTGTTGGTTTATGTGTGTTATAAGACAGAGGACAGGGTGGAGAAGAGGACCAAGGAGTACCTGGAGAGGCAAAGAGAACCCGGTGGTTGTTTCTGACAAGTCTCCTCTCTTCTATTTTCCCAATACCTGGAGACCACTGGCGCAGAGAAAGTTTTGTGGCTTCTGCTTGGGACTTCCATGAGCTAAGGAGAGGAAAGCAGCTGCCAGGCTTGGCACATTCAGCCAAGGGGAGGCCTGTGGGAAATAGGCTTGTGCAGTTCTGGGAGTTAAAGACAAGTGGTTTGTATTTGAAGACAAGAAAACTGAGTTAGAAAAGGAACATGCACCAAAGGCCAACACTTAGCAGAATTCAGTTGATTCAATAAAACTTTGTAGTCAGGAAATTACAGTTGGCCTTTAGTTCCATTTCTGGTTGTACCAAGTCTTACAGACTGCAACTCTTTTAGTATCTTAGAGAGGTCAACTTTTCTACAAATTCACAAATAAAGCACTGAGATTTCTGTTGATTTTGCTTCTTTGCTGTCACATCTTTTCCTCTGTCCTTGACAATGGACTCCAGCCTGTCCGAAACCCTTCTGTAAATGTTACCAGACAAATTGTTCTGAAATTGAAATTCAAGCATTTGAGTATGGCATGTGGGGAATCCTGTTAGAGTATTCATGTGGTATTTTTCTGAAACAATACCCACGAGGTAACCAAGGTACATACAAGAAATACTCATAGCATAGTGATGTAGGTATGAAGGTAAATATATCAATGCACCTATGTAGATGTTATATTCCACTACACACACCTTCATATTCTGTTTTTCCATTCATAAATTTCATATCCATCCATCTCTTTCTCACTCCCCTCTGCCTCAGCACCATCTAGTACCACGTTTTCCTGCAGCTCCAACGTTATATGGTGTATTAAAGAATAGAAACTGTTTCACAGCTGGTACTAGATGATCACTATGAGTCTCTTAGTTGAAATGGTTCTATTATCTTTTATTCTTTTGTTTGTGCATCACCACTTGCAGAGTGGGGTGAGAATTTACACATGGCAATGCTCCTGCTGAAAGAGTACAGAGACTGTGCCTGAGTGTTATTTAAAAGGAACTCTATCATTATAATATTAAAAGTAACAATATATCTGCCTACTCTCTAAGACTTCAGCAGCCTCCATCCTGATTCCACTTGTTGCTACACACTTGCAATCTATAACTGACTCAAACTTCCCGACCCGGCCCAAATTCAAGGTAAGCAAAGGTTAAGAGTTAAAGCCTTAGAAGTGTTACAATTGTAAATAAAGAGGCAGGGGTCACTGCTGCCTGCTCATAGTGCACACCCAGGCTCTGTAAAGAGCCTTCCCTGATTCCAGTCTTTGGAAACTGCTCCCAAAAGTGAATGAGGAAATTATTCATTATGAGTGGGAAGTTGTTAGTGTCTTCTTATTGATCTCCAGTAAAATTTCTAAAAGGGACTGGGTAGGATCTTACAGCATTAAAATGGTGCTGCTTGTTAGAAATAATACAGAGTTTATTTTTTTTCCCCCAGTTAGTGTTAATATGCTCTGTTACAACTGAAGCAGAAGGAAGAAAGAAAGATTGAGGTTAAACTTTTGTGTATTCTTTTCTCTGACTTTTAAAAGAACCTGGAACTTTTGTGGCCTACTGAAACATTTCCTTCTCTCCCCAGGTTGTTAGTCAAAATTTTCTCATAACATAACACTGTTTAATCAAGATATGGGGAAATCTTCATCATGCTTCACTACACAACTCTCCTTGCATTCCAACCTTGTTCCAAAACCAGGCCATGGCGATCAATAAATCCATTCAGGGGGCTTTATGTGTGCAGAAGAAAAAATAAGGGAGAAAATTAAAAAAGGGATAAGAGGCAGAACCCTCCCCCAAAACAAATTTTTATTCTATCTGACTGACAAACTCAGCAAGTCTTTCTGCTTTCTGTTCCCAAGCGCTGTCTTTTGGCAGTCAGGGTCTGTAGCTCAGCATCTCTGAGCAGGCACACAGGGCCCAGGAGCCTCTAAAGAGAGCAAGCGGCCACTCTGGCCTCTAACAGCAGCTTCAAGTGCTCCCCACTCCTCAGGGCTGTGGCACCCCAAGTGCCAGATGTGATTTTTTTTGCAGATGGAGAGAAGAAAGGGAGATGATTCAAAAAATGACTGGAGAAACATCAGCTATTAATGAATCTGAAATTTAATTTTTAACTCCTCCTTTTGATTCTCAGGCTCTTCTTAGACTGACTTTGCCTCATAGTAAGAATTTGAACAGAGATGAGTCCTTAGAAGGCTGCAAACTGCAGGTGTACATATCTGTCCTTCCAGAAACTCATGAAGAATGCTGAAGGACTGGCTGCAGAAATGACAACTCAGCACACATCATGTATGGTGATCACTACTGGAGAAATTCAAGTTAAAAGACAAATATAGTAACTCTCATTAGGGCAAGAATATATAAATTTTCACTCCATTGTTTTTATAAAACTTATTGAAAATACCCCGTCCACAAAAAAAACCCAAAAAAAACCCCTCAAAAACAAAACAAAACAAAACAAAACAAAACAAACAAAAAAAAGGAAACCCACAACCTTCCCCCCACAACCCCCCATCCCCAGTTTTATATTATTATGGTAACAAATCTGGAAGTGTTTGAAATCCGGGAATGTTTGGTAAATTATTCCTGTCTACAGTACTTTTCAGTTTTCTTGGCCTTTTCAGTTACTTTTCTGTGCTGCAAGAAGCCTCAGGCACCCTTTGCCATCAGCATGGTTGTCCATTGTGTTAACACCAGGTAAAAGAATATTTATCAAGTCTGAGATAATCTAAACTGATTTCTTGTGATGGATATTCTTATTCCCGGTGTTACAAATTGTTGGAGCAAGGTGGCAGCCCCCTTAAGGCAATCTGTTACGTTTGACAGCGACACAGGACAGTGGTACAGGATGTTTCTGCCCTTGCCTTGAAACACCCAGCCAGGGTTTACGGTGCAGATTTCCTTAGCACGGGTCGACTCCATACAGGAGTGTCCCTGTCGGGCCCCTCCATCCCTCCTTTCTCTTTAAAGCTGCGTCACATCCCTCACTCACATGGATGTAAACCCCTCCATTCTGCCTGAGGCTCCCTAATCACCCTCCCTTATCTCCTATTTCTCTCCCTTCCGTAACTAATGTTCTTAAAGCACTTGTTACTTTGCGGTTTTGCAAAGTATCGCGGGTGACTTTCAAGGGAAATCTTAAGCAGTGCCACAGCTCTTTTAATTGTGCATGTAGTGGCTCTTAAAAGAGCCTTTGGGTCTGCGGGGGTTACGGCAGGGAACTCAGGCGCGCTCTCCGCGGATGCGGCGGGCCAGCTGGATGTCCTTGGGCATGATGGTGACGCGCTTGGCGTGGATGGCGCACAGGTTGGTGTCCTCGAAGAGCCCCACCAGGTAGGCCTCGCTGGCCTCCTGCAGCGCCATGACGGCCGAGCTCTGGAAGCGCAGGTCGGTCTTGAAGTCCTGCGCGATCTCGCGCACCAGGCGCTGGAAGGGCAGCTTGCGGATCAGCAGCTCCGTGGACTTCTGGTAGCGCCGGATCTCGCGCAGCGCCACCGTGCCGGGCCGGTAGCGGTGCGGCTTCTTGACGCCGCCCGTGGCCGGCGCGCTCTTGCGGGCAGCCTTGGTGGCCAGCTGCTTGCGGGGCGCCTTGCCGCCCGTCGACTTCCGCGCCGTCTGCTTCGTGCGCGCCATCGCTGCCGGGACACAGCGGGAGCTGACGGAGCCGAAAGGAGGAAACGAAATGAGCCCAGCTCGCTGCCGCGGCCGTTTTTATAGCGTGCACCGCTCCCTGATTGGCTGCTAGGAATGCGCGGCTCCCATTGGGTGCTTTCAATTTGGAAAAGCCCGCCGCGAGCGGAGCGCGCGCGCGCCTTCACCAACGGCTGCCCGCGCTCACCCCTCCCCCACCCCAGCCCCCACCCGGGCCCGGCCCCGCCGCTCCTGTCCCGAGGGTGCGCGGTTCGTATCGCGGTTTGTACTGTCCCCCCCGAAAATGAGCCCTGTACAGAGAAATGTTCCAACGGGAAAGGAGAAATCGCAAATTATGCTGAATTTAATGCATAGAATATTCATGCGGCTTTTTTTCTCCAATTGACTTTGGTTTTTTTTTTCCTAAAAACGAATCTTAACAGTATTTTTGGGGCTTGGATTTTCGTTGCAATGGGGTGCGTGGGGTTGTGTATTGCGAGGGAGTTTTGGTGGGAGAGGTTGGGTTCCACTTTATGTAACTTTCATCAGGCAGGGTAAATGTTTTGGAGACCAACATGAATTGCAAATGTAAATTTTCTAATCCAAAGGAGAGTGGTTTCAAATGACCGGATCGTGCAGCATGTGAAGCATCCTTAGGTTGCTGCTGAAGCACAATGAGGCGTAAGGTGATTTTCCTTTTTCCTCACTGTATATGTGTGCAGTATTTCCCTACTCGGGTGCGCTGTCCTTGGAGCCCGATGGCAGAAGAGCTCCCAGGTGAAAGGCAGGTACTGACACCACCTACGGACACCTCTGGCACCCTGAATTAAAAGGAAGTGTATTCCTAACCTTAAACACAGCGAAAGCACAAATAATGAATGGTAAATTTCGTACACACGACAGAGAAAAAGGGGACCTTTTTGGAACATTGAGAGGGGGACAGAGAGGTGATACCTCTAATGTTGCATTTACAATCAACATTACTTTTATTTAAATATAAATAGGTGTCCGCTTCCATTCTTTACATAATGAGGGGGAAAATCCTCTCAGATGAGATGCCCGCTTAGGTACCTTACAGCCCTCAGCACGAAACAGGGGGCTACGCGTTTAGGATGCTTGGCTAATTTTTTAACTTTCTTAGTCAGCAAGTACATTGCCCCAAATACAGAACGTTTAAATAACTAAAATGGCTTCCTATTTATTAGTGAGTCTCTGGCCAAGGGGCTAAAATAATTGCTACCTTACAATATAGCAACGAGTTACAAAGTAATTATTTAGGATTGGAAGAAATTAACGCATCACTTCTAAAGCAACACAGCTCTTTTTATGGTAAATTGTGCGGCTCTTAAAAGAGCCTTTGTAATTTTTAAGGTGGTTGTCGGATAGGAATGTGAGGATTTAGCCGCCGAAGCCGTAGAGAGTGCGACCCTGGCGCTTGAGGGCGTAGACCACGTCCATAGCCGTGACCGTCTTCCTCTTGGCGTGCTCCGTGTAGGTGACGGCGTCGCGGATGACGTTCTCCAGGAAGACCTTGAGCACGCCGCGCGTCTCCTCGTAGATGAGCCCCGAGATGCGCTTGACGCCGCCGCGCCGAGCCAGGCGGCGGATGGCCGGCTTGGTGATGCCCTGGATATTGTCGCGCAGCACCTTGCGGTGGCGCTTGGCGCCGCCCTTGCCGAGCCCCTTGCCGCCCTTGCCCCGGCCAGACATGACTAGACTCCGGCTGCTGCTGCTAGCAAAGTCGGTGTGAGGCAGCACTGCCCGCGCCGCGATTTTTATGGGGTTTGGTCCGACCTGGTTGAAGACTGCAGAGGGAGGGGGCGGGGTTCCCGCCCATTTTCCCCGTTGCGTCACCGACGCCGAAGCATCGCTCGCTGTTGCCCGTTTAGGGCGCTGTAAAGTCCGGCAAGTAAAGCAAATGAAAAACCACCTGCAGGAAAAAAATTCCATCGGTGTTCGTGTTCATACTGTCGGAAAGCTTCCCCCCCCAGATTTGTGTAAACCATTTGCATATGTGCTCGTGTTATATTTTGTAGCACTGGCAGGGGTTGGTGTGAATAACTTCAAAATCTCGTTACTTTCATTATGCCTTTTATTAAAACTCTTGGTTAATTTGTATTCAAAGTGCTATAAACTTTGCTTCACGATTTTTAATGATTTCAGATCTCTTAACAGCTTTAAATAATTTTTCATGATAATAGTAATTTTATTGGTTTCTTTATTTTAATATTCACCTCCCATTTCTTAAATATTCCAGTTTCACATCAGCAACCTTTGTCTGTAATCACATATTAACCAGAAGGTGGAATAGAATTTTTAAAATATTATTAAGGTTATATTAGTATGTGACTTCTGCTAGTTTTGCTCATTTTGAGCTACTGCAGTGGGGTAAATTTTTGGGCTTTCATTTTTTGCAAAATGACCTTTACTATAACTATAGATTGAAGTTTCTGCTCCTTGATTAGCAAAATAATCACTCTGGTTTTTACTATAGATTAGGCTTTCTGTTTTCTTCCTTCTTTTGTGTGTTTGTTTGCGTGTATGTGTATCAATATTGGAAACAAAAGATATTCTGAATTATCTTCAGTGAATGTCAGGAGTGGTTTTAGGACATTCCAAATGCCATCATGTAAAAACATCCTGACCTGGCACAGCTGAAAAACTGATCTCGAAATAATGCTGTTCTTCTCTTATCCTTTTATGTATTAAAGGCAAACATAATTTCTGTGTACTCTTTTAAAGTGTTAAAGTTTAAAAAGTCATTCATTATATGCTACTTTTAATTTAGGTCAATATTAGCCAAAAAATATATTGCCAGACATCATATTTTTAGGATATACATGAATAAAATTTTGGAAATATGTTCGTACTTTCAAACTAATAGTTTTGAATTTAAGTATTGTATAATTTTTCATTTTCCTTATTTTCCACCCACTGGCAGCTGGTGCTTCTTCCTCCCTTCAAAATGTTCTGTGTCACTCTCCAGGGCAGAATGGAAATGCCCCAAGCCCTCTGTGGATGTGGCAGGTTGTACACAACCTGCTTTGCTCTGTGTTCATGCCCTGGTCCTCTGCCATGCTGGAAACACTGATCTCACCTGGAGGAAAGAAATAAACTCTTTCCTTGCACAGAAAACCTGAGCAATTTTGATGGAGCAGCATGTTCCCACAGGAGAGGAGAGCTCAGAGGAGAAGGGCAGAACCATCAGGAGCTGGAGGAAAAAGGCACTGAAAAGAAAACTCTGCTTATTTCAACATCAGGGAGATGGAGGTGTTACCACGGCTTAAGACAAGAGAGCTGCACCAGTGGGTCATCAGATTTCCTCAGAGCACCAGCAAAGAATGGCTTCTTCCTCAGCAAGCCAGATGAAAAGGAGGGGTGGGGAGGATGGGCCGTGTACACGTGAACCAGCCCAATATAACTTGTGAAAACTGGGGAACAAATGGAAAAGTTTGGAGATAGCAACAGGCTCGAGATGATTTCAACCAAGCCATTCCCTCCCAGGGACTGGGCAGGGGGACAGAACTGATATTGAGCATATAAACACCAGTGATGGGAATTTTGTTTCTAAAGTGATTCAGCTGTCTGTTGCACATGCTTTATTATGCTTGGCTGTAATTTCAGTGCAGTATCCTTCTGCTAATTAAAAACACAGCCTAACATCAAATATGCTCGTTAGGAAAATTTGAAATTAAACATTAAACCCTCCTCATGTAATATCTGAAAGAACCTGAATGGAGAGTACTCAACTTCCACAGCCTGGAGATGGGATCAGCTGGGCCCTGCCTCCAGCTAGGACTGTAAACTGAACAAAATCTGACTTCTTTGGCAGGCCTTGAGCTGCTAAATCCACCCCAGTGGTCTTTGTTCTCTGTACCCCCATGCCCACACACCACGCCTTCAGTTCAGCACCTAGGCCATGCTGGGAAGCTGTGCTTACTGAAATAGACCAGCACACACCACTTTGGTAAGAAATGTTTTGAGCACAGAAAGCTCTGGTTTTGAGACTGAGGCACAAAAATCAATATTTGCATGTGTGGATTTGCCATTTGGATGGAGTTTTCTGGCAGTAGCATAAGTGCAGAAATGCTTTATGCTCTCCAAGGAAAACTAGTAAATACCACAAATTTTGTTTAATGACTGGGGCACTGATAACTAATTTAGTATTTTCCCTGTCTTTCCCTGCTAATTCAGAGTCAGAGGTGGAGAGACCCATTCTCATCTCTTTATTTAACTACTGCAGCTGGTCAGAGATAAGAGTTTGGGCTGTAGCCCTGGCTTGGGCTGTTTCCAGCTTCCTTTGCTGCCAAATTCAGAAAAACCACAGGGACTGATAAATCAAGAAAAGACCTCTGTCGTGGTCCAGCAGCATAGGCTGACCTTTGAGGATACAGTTTGCCACTCACATAGAGTGGCTTACACATCAGATGATCCACGGAGAGGCAAAATCTTCCCAAAATTGTCTAGTGGGCTTGTTGTCTGAGTCCCTGCTGGGAGGAAGGCTCGCATGGCCTCACCCCCATCACTCCATGCACGAGCTGAAATCTTGTAGGCTCACTGCACGGCTGGCACAGCTGGTATAGCTGAATAGGTCCAGGAAAAAAAAGGCTGGAGGAACTCCTAGATCAGGTTTGGGGTGTTGGGAAGTTAGTGAAATAACCAAGTTCTTCACATGAAGCTTTTATAGGACATGGGAGAGAAGGGACAGGGTCAATAACCTGTAAGGGGTGCAAGGGCAACCATGTTGAGCAAATTCTGGCCACAGCTATAGCATTTCTGGGCTTCTCTGAGGAAAACACCAAAGATTGCTCTAACAAACAAGTGCTCCAGGGTGGCCTGTGGAGCTCTGAGCTCAGCAGCACTCCATGGAAATCTGCTCCTGCATTCTGGTAGAGACACAGCAAACCAGCTACCCAGCACCCCAGCCTGCAGGGATGCTCAGGAACTTTGCTTCTCTCAGATCCTTTCTCCTCTTTCTAAACTGGCATTTGATTGAAGCAGCACAGACCTCACGGTGCACTGTCCCTTGATTAAGCCAGAAAGGGGAATCCAGGAGGAATTGTGAGCCCCACATTTTTTGCACAGCTGAGGCTGAGTAGCTCCTCTGGTTGCCTGGGCTCGTGCAGGGCTGGGCTGGGCTCCATGGTTTCAGCTGAGCTCTGCCAACCCTTACAGGGCTGTAAGTACTTAAAAGCAGCTGAAGGGCTGCCTTGTCCAAATGGTCTCTCTGGGGCATAATTTTCCAAGTGCAAAACTAATGTGAGCATCCTTGTAGGAATTTATTGAGTACTGTCTTGGGCTATGCATTTCTGGAGGAAGCCAGTTCTGAAAAAATGGCAAACTGCCTTTTGTTAGGGACTCCAGACACTGCTGTTGTGCTCTGTCCTTGTTACAGCAATAATTGGTTGGAAAACAGAAAAATTCCAGGGATTTATTTATGGCTGTGCCCTGGACTGTGGCAGTACCAGCTGTTGGTTTCTCTGGGGCTGGATTGAAGGCACTTGAGACAGTAATTCATGTTTGGACTCAAGTATTTATTATTTCTTATCAGTAAAACAGGCTCACTACTGTGAGTTTGGCAGCTTTTCATTAGATGGTACAAAATGGCCAACAACCTCTTGTTACAAGACCTTTCAAGACTAAATTATCCAATTAAGAGCTGATACCTAAATTATTTCCCCTTTTAACCCAATAACTGATCCCAAAGAGCTGCAACGGGGACTTTTCTGCCCAATCACAAAATGCCACCCAAACCCATGAAGGAGGAAGAAGAAGCATGAAGGAGAAACCCAGGATGACACCCTGTGCCCTCCATCTTGCTTCTGTCCACAACACACTAAAAATCCCAAAACCTCAATTTCTCACCCATGATACCCCTACACCACTCTCTATAATCTATTTCACACTTTTGTGGATTCTAGTCTGTCTTGACATCTAGGAAACTTTCTCCATGAATGAGGGTCAAAGTCAGTGCTCCCCTGGGGGTCAGGGCACCCCAGAGCAGACAGAGAAATATTCCCAGTGCCCTGGGTTCCCACACTGGACAAAGCAGCTTGTCCTTGAGGATACAGCAGTTAAGGAATTCCCCACACTGTCCATGTCCTGCCCAGGTCACACCAGCCATCACCTGGATGTGCTGAGGCAATGGCATCCAAGTGCCTTCATGTGCACACCTTGACGCTTCTCTTCAACAAACTGCACAAGATTTCTGTCAGCCCATACCTCAGGTTTATTAGCATCTCTTTTTTCTGAAAGTATTACTTTTGGCCCTGTCTAACGTTCTTCACTTTGTGCTACCCACACTAGCATAGTGTACATTCTGCCTCAGCACCCAGCTTGCTCCAGAAAACACTAAATAATACCAGCCCTGGAGCATTGTTTTCACTACCAGTTGTCTGCAGACACTCAGTTGTTGACTACAGCCCCTTGGACCTGTGCTACAGACAATTTTCAAATATCTAAGAGCCCGCTGATCCTGCCTGTAGTCCCTCTGATCCCAAACAAAAACACCTGGGAGATGGTTCCAAAAATATCATGAAATGTCAAGTATATTGCATACAACATTCCTCCTTTGTCCACACAGATACTCTTTAATCAACAGTTCTGTGATAATTACCTATACCTAGGCATGAGCAGGTTTTGTTGCACTCTATCCACTATCAAGTCAACAGAACCCATTTTATTTCTGAGACTTTGTCACTCTGCTTCTTGGAGACTGGGGGACTGTT